ATGCCTCATGAGCCCACCAGAATTTAGTTCTGTATCTTTAAGCAACTACATTTTTCCAAAACCCTAGCCAACATCTGCTGTCCTTTGAAAATTTACAGATGGCATCCTCTGCCATGTGCTATACATTCTTTATGTCCAGCTAAATATACACTGCTTTTATTGATGGAAGGACAGGGTATTGGGAGAGCTCATCTTCATTTTCAAATCAATATTATAAGCATAGTTTAAGATAGTGTCCCTCAAGTGATTAAAATGTTCCATTTCAGTGAATGGTTAAAAAAAACAACCTAAAAACCAAACCAACGAACAAAAAAACTCCCCACACTCAACCATCAGATGGACCACTCTACACTGGAAGAATTTACATCTGCACAAGCGTAAAAACCTGTATTTTCTCTGTGACAAGTGCAAACTGTAGAACCACAACACAGCAACAGTGTATGCGAAAAGGGGTAGGTATCTCCTGCTAACTTAGACATAGCTTATTGATTCTGCATGATTATTACATATTACATATTTTAATTCATTTTACAGCATTCACCTCAGCAGTTTTTTCTGAGCCTTTACCTAGATTCAGCGGAAGTTTTTTGGAGCAGAAATATGACTGAAGTTTGATGAGAGCCATCTTATCTCTGGCACAATTGAGGCAGAAGCGAGAAAACAGGTCAACAAAATTCTCCTGATGTCCAGGAACTGAAATACATTGTTGCAAGAGTGTTTGCTTGCTAAGAAAGTGCACTTTAAGGACTGCAGCATTGTCAGGCAGCTATGGCCCCACAAGCAGTCAGAAGTCAACAGGCTGTTTCAGCTGTGGCAGGAAGGCAGAAGACATCAAAGATGTTTCATCCCCCACAAGCTGCACAACACAGGCCAGCTGGCACTTATGTCCCACTGGTGAGGAAGTGAGTACCTCTCCTTTTTTCCTCATTAAGTCACAGCAAGTCCATAGACAAGACAGCTGACAACAACCAGAACTTGCTGGTACTAGAATTTGTTTCCTCTTGAGAACAGGGCTTCCCTGGTAAACATTCTTCTGTTAGCACTGACATGAGGACATATCCCAGGCCTAAGTGCATCTTGCCATCACACTTGGCATTCATTCAGCCTGGAAGATGCAGTTATTACTCAAATGACACTTCCCATTTGAAAACTGCTGTAAAAACATCATAAGTACACTTTAAGCTACCTCTTCCACTGTGCCATTTCATGCCAAGAAGAGAAAGCAAGCCCCATTCATTGCTTCTGCAAAAAGGGAGGCTTGTATTATGTAATCTGTGTCATTTAGGTTGTTTTCTTACTGCTCCCACACTACTGTATCACAGTTTCAAGACAAGGGCCTCTTTTCAGTCATAGAATCATAAAATACACTGAGTTGGAAAGGACTCATCATGATCATCAAGTCCAGCTTCTACTCCTGTGTAAGACAGTCCCTCCACCAGGCAGCAAGATGTTGCTGTGGCTATGACCGTGATGTTCTTGGCACACGTGGCAATGTGTTTCTGCCCTTGCAGGCCATCCCCAGAAGCCAGCTCCAGCCTAGTTTCCTTTAGCTTACTCCAGCAGTTGCAACACTGAAAATCTTTTTGTGCAGTTAGCAAAGGAAGCAACAGCAAACGCCACACACTTCCCACAGCCATCACTGGTGGCTGAGGTACTCAGTGAGGTGGAAATGCAGTGCTCACACTCTGATGGACTGCCTGATCCTGTGCCCAAACAGGTTTTTTTACTAACAGCATCCAGGAAGTACAGTCAATTCAGGAGCCATTCAAGCTTCAAGGGCTAGGTAATACCAGAGCTCCTCTGACTCCTGATTCAACCCTGTAGCAACCTAGCCCGCACCCAGAGGGCTAGCTCTCACCCCACCCTGCTTTTAAGCACCATCCACAAACCTGCATTACTCAGTTCTGTAATGCAGAGAATAAATGTTTGGATGCATTAGCATCATAGGAGTCTGTGGTCTCCAACAGAAGCTGGCAAAATAGCAAGAAACATCTCAGAGCACGGAGGAGCTGCACTCAAGAGGAAGTATCTGGAAACCTACTGCAGAAGGATACCTCAAGTAGTGCTACTCCTGAGAGGAATGGAACACTTACATCCAGAATGAAAGTGTCAGGCACACACTTTGTGCTGGTCTCAAACAGCTTTTTCATCTAACGGAAGAAAATTATTTCTAACACAAACACACCCCTGCCCCCCAATTTCACATCACTACAAACAAATGAGGACTGGAAATAGTCTCTGTAATCATGGGGTTTGGAAGCTATCAATCCATTTAGAAAGATATCCAGAAGTTTAGGACACAAATTGCACAAGACCTAAATCTGTCTATCTGAAGACCCACCTTGCTGTACGGTGACTGTCCAGAGAAGCTCCCTAGCACACGTCCCCTTCTCAGCCAAACTTCCAGAGGGAAGGAGCCACATGCAATTTTACAACCAGGATGCAATGAACCACCCAGATAAGGTCTGGATGGGACAGGCACATCGAGAAGTCCCTGCTCCACAAGAAGCCAGCTCTCCATCAGGGACCATTTGCAAGGGAATGTCCCTTCAAGGATAGTGGGTGGCATGTGTCCCTGCTGATCCTAGGAACATTACTCCCACCTTTGCTGGGAGAGCTCAGCAAGACACACCAATTAACTCCCAACAGCTGCTGCACCCTGGAGATCCTCAGCACTCACAACAAAGAGGTGGAGCAGGATACTCTGACAAGCCCCAATCTTCGAGTTTTGGCAGCAGTTCACAGGTTTGTCCAGCCTCAGCTGAAGAAAAGCACCTTGACAGATGGCTCCCCAGTACCCTGGGGAATCACCCACCTAATTTTACTCTGCACACACTACCCCCCCTCCCTCCCTTTCTTGGGCTCCTTTCACTAGGCCACTACATTGTGCTACATCTAAATTACCTTTAAATCAGCACCCAGAAGTACCCCAACATCTTGATCTCTTTGAAGACCAAGCAAACAGAGGTTCTCCACAGAGAAACACATGCCTGAGAAAAATCACTCCAGCCCTTCAGCAGGTTTGCCAGCCTGTCTCTACATGAAGCAGGTTTCAAGCAATCAGCTACTGTGCATGCACAAAGACAGTTTATCAGCCATGGCCCAAGAACCCTTACTTAGCACTGGTGGCCTTGTGTGGTGTACAACTTGGTGGTGTGCTGCCTCAACACTGAATCTTCCAGCACTTGTCTCAGAACACACACATGGAGACAAGTGCCTGCAGAGATGCTCCATGGCTCTCCTGCAGAGAACCTGCCTCTTCAGCCCACAGGGATCAAACCCCAAACCATCTTTTATATCAAAGCTGCAAAATCAATTGCCAGACTTCCCTGGTGTGATGGGCAAGAATAGAAAGGACTGTGTTGGTGTGGAGGCAGGGAGGGGAAGTACTCTGAACAACATCCACGTCTTTCAGCTATGCACCTTGACGACAGTAAAGGGATTGCTGAAAAAAAAAAGCTGCTAGCACATTCATTAAGATCCTCACTGCTCTTTTCCTTCTCACTTTGATGGCACAGAGATAAATTGGAAACTGGAAATAGTAAACCAAACAAACTACTTAGGCACAAACAGCACAAGAGAACCACTTTTGCACAGATCAGCTGTGCAAGAATTTTCTGTGTGCATTAAGAAGTCCTAGTTTTTTTGTTTCAAAACTTGTTTCAAGTTTTGAAAACAGCAGCATGTAAATTTCTTGGATTTTTTTTTTTTAACATCACCAGTTCCACAAAGGATGTTCTTACACTCCCCAAAGAACCAAGTGAATGGGCTCTAATGGAATGGAATCATTCACACAGGGTCTCCTACATGGTTAACCTCACCTCTCCCCCACCAAAAACATGCCCCAAAACCGACTCCCCGTCTGTGTAAATCAATAGAGCTAGGACAGATTCACTGAGAGCATTAAACTGGTAACATCTGCTGAAACACATCAACTAAGGATATGACCGATGCAAAAGCATTTGGAGTAGAAAGAGGCTTCTTTCTACTAGCTAAACCAGAAAGGCTTGGATGACTCTCAGTGTTCTATTACAATTGCTTCAAACACTGGGTGCACAACCCCCAGTATCATTACAAATACTGCATTTGACTGTCTGTGTTAATGCCCCTACACACAGACAGAATTAAAGTGTGACTGAAGCTACAAAACTAATAGCTCTTGCAGTTGCCTATTACACACCCAAATCACTTCAAACACATATATATGTCTTTGCCTGACAGTATACTAACTGGACCCTGTGGGAGCCAGGTAATTGATGTTTACAGCACGGAAATAGTCACCTATATGGGAGTTAGCAACTTCAGTAGGTTTATGTGAAGTTCAAACTCATTACAACTGTATGCTTATGTTCTCATTGAGAACCATAGCCCCAGTTCCTGGGAGCAAGGATGAAGACAGCACCTCAATTGCAGAAGAGCATGCTTGTTTAGTTTAATATTCTACAGTTTCACACTTTTGGTAGAATCATCTCAACACCACTCTTGCCCTGGAAGTGCAATGCTACTACTCAGCTAAACGCTGGCTTTTATGACAAAGTCCGGTTTAATTCAAGAATTTAGCTAGGTTAAGAGTGCTTGTCAGTGCAGCAACAGTGCTGATGTGTTACACAAACAAGTTACTTGGAGACACAAGCAAAATGAACTGCACCATATGCAGGCTCGCGGTCCCAGCCCTGAGTGCAGCTTCTCTGCTGCAGCTGGCGTCTCTCGGGATCTAGCAGTTACGAGCACAGAAGTGGGCTCCGAGCTTTTTCCCTTAAGGCACCCGTGAAAAGAATTTAAAAAAAAAAAAAAAATTAAGAGGAGAAAAGGAAAACAATAAAAGGAAAGAGGAAAAGGGATAAAGGAAGAAGGAAGAGAGAAAGGGTAACAAAAAGTAAATAGAAGAAAAAATAAAGAGAGAGGAAAAGGGAAAAAGAAAAAAATCAAAAGTAAATGGGAAAAAGTGCCTCCGGCTGAGCGCAGCCCCCGCACCCGCACGGGCACACGCCGCCCCTTACCGCACCGCCGGCTCCCTCCATCTCCCATCGCCGGCCGCGGCGGATCGCAGCCGCCCTCCCGCCGGGCCGCGCCGAGCGGGGCTGTGCCGTGCCGGGCCGGGCCGTGGTGCCCCCCGGCCCGCAGCGGAGCCGGGCAGCGCGGCGGCCCCAGCGCGGTGGGCGCGGAGCGGCGCGGGCCGGGCGGCGGGGCCGGGCCGGGCCCGGCGGGGCGGGGCGGCGGCCCGGGAGGGGAGGGCAGGGGAGAGGGGGGCGGGGGTCGGCGCGATGAAGGGGAGGGGAGGGGAGTACACCACGTGCTCCTTGAAAAGATTCTAAAAAAAAAAAAAAAAAAAAAAAAAGGGAATTATATCAGGATTAGCAGAGCAATAGAGTGAAAAGCACAACCTAGACCGCGTGCAGCAGCGGTGTTGGGCAGGAACACGTCCAAAGCCCGCGGGGGCTGGGACATGCCGTACTCTGCTCTTAAATACCCTCAGTGCGGATCGCAGTTGTTGGGGGAAAAAAAAGAAAAAAAAAAAAAAAAGCAGAAGCCTTTTCCAGCCCTGGGGCTTCTCCTCGCAGACCTACTTCAAAAAGCAGAAGAGCGCAGATGTCTCCAGAGTAACCCCATCTGAACACTCGAAACTGATTTTCCACTTTTGTTTTTTTCATAGTTTGCTGAAAGCTCTCTTGCATCGTCAGGTTTTAGAGCGCTCAGCCGCGTGATTAGAATTTGTCTAACTAGGACCTCTGAGCCTTGTTCTTTCAAGTACAAGTGGGGTTTTCCTGTCAAAAGCTGTGCTTTAGAAAACACCCCCAAATCTCATTACCCCAGTTAGAGGAGTTAACTGCACAAGTAGCTGGCAGACTGCATAAAGAAGGATGTCAGTTTCTGTAAGTTTAGTGTGTCTGTGTTTTGTTCAAAGGCAGCTGAAAACTTCTTCGGTTTTAACCAATCAAACTTGAGGACAGGCTTTCTGGAAAAATCTCTCAGCACCAGGAACACGCTGTATGTTTGCTTCGTTCCAAGCATAGGCAAAAAACACTTGCATGTTAGGTGGTAGGCAAAGTTGTTCTCTAATGGTGTGCTCTTCTGAAAGGCTTTGGACAGTTGGTGTTGGTGGTAGAAGTGCATCACCATGAAGTTAGTGTCATAAGTGTACCACACCCAGACAGAGCAGCAGCTCTGTGGCTTAGGAGACAACATAGCCCTGCCTTGTTCCCCAATGGCTTCACAGCTTGGTGCCAGAGCCACCCTCCCTGCCAGCACTGGGCCATCTCAGATTTTCTTCAGTCCCATGGGGAAAAAAATCCATTTCCGGCAGGATGAAAGTATGACTAATAATGCTTGAAGCACCCTGGCCTAAAACTTTCCCTGTTTGGCAATAAGACAGGTAGCAGCACCATCTCTGGGCTCCTCCAACTTGTCTGGGGGCTCTGTTCAGCAGCACATCCCCATGCTCTTCCCAACAGGGCTGTGGCATGCAGAGTTCACACTGCTTCTCCTAGACTGAACCCACTATTTCTCACCACTCCAGCTCCACGTTTACCCCAACAGTAGTGCTCCTGCTTTACACTCACATCACCCACCAGCAGACTGCACCACCTCTGTCATCTGGGTGCCATTGGTGTACACTGTATTTCAGAAGGCATTCTGCTCTTTCCCTACAACTTCCCCTCTCCCCATCCTAAGCCTCTTGCCTGCTCCCCAGCACCACGGGCTGTCTTTAACCATCCATCCCAGGAGCAGCACAGGACCTGGCCCCTGCCCTGCTCAGCAAAACTCCAGTACAGTAGTTTCTGTCCTCTGGGGACAGGTGGGTGAAAACATGTCTTTCTATCCTCTGAAACTGCTGGCACGGGTCCTGAAGAGGTCCCTGTGGTACAGCTCCTCCATACCCATCGCCTGTGGCTGAACTGCGCTGGCAGGGGAGGGTGATGTGCTGAAGGGCTTCACCCCTCTCCCCCAGCCTCAGATGTGATGCCAAATGTGTTTTGGCCCCACCAGGGTTTTGTCCCATCTGTCAGACACCCTGGGGGCCTCAGGAGCTGGTGTGGGGGCACAGGCTGTAGATTCCCCATCTGTGCTATGTCTGAGATGGCTAATGCAGCGGAAAAAGAAACCACCCAGTGCCTGAACCTCTGGGGAGTTGATGCACTCTGCCTGCCTCTTCCCTGACAGGCTGAGGTCATGCAATTGCAGGCCAAGAGGCAGCTGGGAGCAAAAGAAGGGCGGGACTGAGGGGCTGGTGATGTCCCTTGCAAGGCACATCCCCCTGCCCTGGGCACCTAGGAGGCTGATGCTGCCACTGCACTCCAGTTTGGAGCTTTTCCCCCTCAATTTGTGTTGAGAAAAAAAATTTTCTCTCTGATCCAGGCATCTAGTCTGAGTCACCCAGACATTTAGGCTTCCAGGAAGGCAGCTCTGTGCCGAAGGATTGGGAAAGGACAACATTTGCCAGCCTGCAGCAGGATGGTCCTGCAAGCCTCTTCTATGTGTGAATCTAGCTCTTGGTTAGCTTCTCTGCAAAGGAGGGTGATGGAGTCCTGAAATTGGCACAAATGTGTGTTTCTTACACCACTGGTCATTGTTTTCTGCAGAGGGGGCATATTAAATCCTAAAACATTTCCGTGAACAGGCAATCAGCAAATTTGGTAGGGTTAGTACATCCATGAAGGAAATCTGTATTTTTGTCCAAATGCTTGATATAAATTTCCATGTATTTATATTAAAAAAAAATAAAAGTCACAAAAAGCTGATACAAAGCCTGGCAACTTGCTAAGTAGTTATGAGCTACATTCCACAGTTAGAGAGCACTCGTAATTGTTAAAGAATTTAGTTGTGAGCATACAGCAGGTACTTTTACACAACCCAAATAGAAATTTTAAAAAAACCCAAAAACTTAGAAGGTGGCAAACAGTCAAGTCCAGCCTGTGCAGAGGCTAAGGTGCTCTGACTTCCCCAGCCACAGGCGGTATGGGGAGCAGGGAGCCAACACAGGGTGGGTGACATGCATGGGTGCTGGGCTGAGGTTGAGCAGAGCACAGGTAATGGAAGACAGTCTCAGAAGCTGGTGGCTGCAGCAGACAGAAGCGTGAAAAGCACCACAAGGGACAGGTAGTGGACTGCTTGTTTGCAAAGAGTCTTGAGTAGAAAACAGGAGTTCAATAAACAGGAAAATAGGTAAGACTGGCAGCGTTAAGGGCTGCCAAAGTGTGCTTGTCAAGCAAGCCCACATTTGAGCACAAGAGTGAGACCAGGGCAGCAAACCAAACCTGTTTTTCTGACTATAACACACGGGTCAAACCTGCTTCTGGTAACAACACAGGGGTCCTAGGGTACTTTCTCTCATCAGCAGGGCAGCACTTAGGTGGATGGATGGATTGAGCATTGCTATGTCAGTGCCTGTTCCAACCAGATGGCACCAGTCTCTTCCCACCACTTTCTAAGACAAACTTAATTGTCTGGGTCAAAAATTCACAGCTGAAAATACTGTTCCTCACTATACTACGCCATAACAAAGAAAGAAAAATAAGAGGGAATAATAAAAAATGAGTGTATTAAAATCTGCATTCTTCAAAGAGTAACCAATGCATAAATTCTGTAATTTTTTGCCAGTGAAGTTGCTATCTTGCTCATTATTCTCCTCTCACAGTGAAGTAGTACAGGAAACTCACTTCCAAATAATCTTTCCTTATTCAAAAGGCAGAAAACCACAAGTAAGCAATCATCCAGGTACTCACCAGAAAATTTCTCAGGACATTGCATTTCAAATCAAAGAGACTCTTTTGTCTTGAGGGAGAAGAAGGCTATAAAAAATAGGATCATTTAAAAAGCCTATCCAGAAACACCACTATCTACAGATGGAAAGACTGAGTTAATAATTTATTGGATTTTCCTCATGTGTCTGGATTTTCTGGACACAGCTGGGAAAACATTTTTTTTTCCATTTTACTCAGAAAAACACAGTCGCCATCACAAACAATTTTTATTGAATTAAGGTCAGAAAAGAAGCTGCAACAACACAAGGGGAACAGCAAACTTGGATGTGAGGTGAAGAGTGCAAGAAAAACTGGGCATGTGTAAAGATGGTAACTTTCCTATTATTTCTTTAAAAGAGTCAGGTATAAATCATTATAGTAAGGCTCAGAGTGACAGCTACAGCATGGAATGGGCCAGTGAACACACTGGCTAGTTAGCCAGCTTCACTGTGAGAAGGTGTATGCTGCAAACCATGACAATATTACCATTCTTTACTCAGCTCTTTCCTCACAGGTTGTCAGGTTTGTTTGGCCTCATACCCAGAGTTCCTGGAAACTTTCATGGGTTAACTGACTCTTGTCCTGCTCCTTCACTCATGGACAATTCCCTAGAGTCTTGCTCTGGCCAGGAAACCACCCAGACATTTCACATCACTCCCTCCTCCATCTGACATGTTAATTGGGAGGAAAGCAAATGAGCAACACTCCCTGCCCAGGTAGCCCTGTAACTGGCCAAAATTATACCATTTGATGGGAAATCTCAAATTTGTTATTCTATCCATCAGAGTGTGGGGATCTCCAATTTTATATTTATTTCCAAAACAGCGGACTTCACAGCACTAGTACCTCCCCTGCTGAATGAGTCTTTAGAAATCTCATTATTAGCCCAAGTCAAACTGAAGAACAGAGAAAATCCTGCTGAATATCCCTGCTTTGGAAGGTTCTTGCTTACCTTGTGGGTCTCTGCTGTCATGTCCTCTCTTAATCTTAGCCCTTACTCTTCCCCACATCTAGCAAATCTGTCACTTTGGCCTTCCCTTTAGGAAGGGCTGCAGAGTCCTGAAATCAGCCCCTATAGATAGTGGGTACAACCTTCTGAACAGGCTGCCATTCCCCCCCCCAACAAACACCCACAGGTCCTGGATGTTTGTGTGGAGCTGATGAGCCCACAGCTGAGACAGGTCATTAAATCTTTTCTTTTCCAACTCCCTCCAGAAATGGCAGCCCAATGCAGCAATCATGGTGTAACCTAGGGGCCCTACTAAAAGTTTGCCAGAGTGAAGACCATGGTTCTAGCCAGATTGACGTTGGCCATGTTCTTCCCAAGCATCT